TTTTTTACGTTACCCTTCGTTACGATTTTCTCCTGTGTCGTGAGTGCGTTTTTGTAAACGCACTGTATGTGAACTTGTATGTTTGTACATGCAAGTTCACATAAACATGACACCGAGACGCGGAACAACAATTTGTGGATCACATAAAGTGCTTTTCCGTGCGGGAATCGAAACGGCGACACGCCAGCCACCGCACCAACCGTCAGTCAAATAATAGATTTTTGGTTTACTCGGTCACTACGCCGTAGTACGGCGGCTTACGCCATCGCAAAAAGAACTGAAGACCGCTCTGGTACACCGGAATGGCCCCATACACGCTACCAATTTTCGGTCTACCTGCACAGATCACCGGTAGAGCGTAACGTGTATGGTTTACATTTTTTAATTAATCATTCGACTTTGTTTTTTATGCTGCTTTTATTATTCTGTTTCAGATGAAAGGCTTTTTATTAATTATATTGCTAGCAGTTACCCATGGGTATGCAACTGTAGATGGTGAAGACCTCCCTGAAGCTCTGTTAGGTGGACCAGAAGGAATAAATACTTTTAGTGGATCTTTATCCCTAGGTGACACGAATGGTAGAATGATGTCTAGGTAAGTCCGATCTTTATAATTTAATCGTTTTATTTATCTATCTATACATATAATAAAATTGTAGAAAAGTGCTGTCTGTACATTGAAAATAAAAATAAAAAAATAGCAGGGGTTATTGTTATGTCGATGTCGAACCCAAAAATGTAATTAACTTTTTTTTTGTCTGTTTGTCTGTTCACGCTAATCTCAGAAACGGCTGATCCGAGTTGGATGCGGTTTTCACGAATATATTGTGGTATGCTTCAGTTATGCTTTAGTATTTGTTTCATGTCAATCGGTTCATAAATAAAAAAGTTATGTCAAATTAAAGAATCACGTCGAACACTATTCTATGCTTATACATACAAAATGACTGTGATTATGATCCAAAATAAAAATAAGTATATATTAAAAAAAACCCTGCTCATAGTCACTATTCCACGCGAACGAAGTCGCGGGCACAGCTAGTGTCTCAAATATGAGATGTGCGTATAATTAAATTGTAACACTAATCAGCATTGTCATCATCATCATCAGCCTATTAGTGCTCACAGCTGCCATAAGCATTGTTCAAGCAAGAAGGAAACCCATAAGCATTGTTCGCCACGCTTACTTTTTTTACACTAGCATTTTCTCCTGTGTCGTGGGTGCGTTTACAAACATACTAGTTCACATACACATGACACCCAGACCCGGAACAACAATATGTGATACATACATACCATACCCGCGACACGTTGCGTGGTAGTCAGTTGCCCAACCACCACGCCCACCATGCAGTCGAGTACTCAAAGCGGCAATTTCTGTCACGGAGAACCTAACGGGTAACCGGGGCTCCGGCTCGACGTGCAGGAGAAGGAACGGGGTGGTTTTTAGTCAGTAAGTGTCTGACACTCCCTTCCGCCTCACCCAGACGGAAGCAGTAATTCGATGATTTACCCCACTTAAAAAAAAACGGCAATTTCTACCTAATAATTTTAAAAAGCTGACTGCCTCATTTGCTTTGTGGTCGCAAGTGCGACTGCTGGGCAAGGGGTCTCGGGTTCAATTCCCGGGTCGGGCAAAGTATTACTGAGATTTTATTAAAAATCTCAGTAATAGCACGGAGTCTGGAATTGTGCCCGGTATATAGCAATAGGTTCACCTCTATTACATGGGACTCATAACATAAATAGTAAATAGTGGTGTTATATTGTACAGGGGTATTAAGGGCCGTAATGTGCACCTGTGCATCTTCGGGGATAAAGGCTTTGTGATAAGTTAAGTTATGTTATGTTACAATTTGGAATTATAAACCCAGATTTCCTCACAATGTTTTCCTTTTTAGGGAACAGAGAGTATAGTTCCCTAAGATCGGAAAAGGAGGATCCTCCGACCAGGCGAAGTGATCGTGCCTGGCGGGCTTTGTTCGTTGGGATTTTTTATCCGTGTTTATTCGCTTGTAAACTTTGCATGTGCGATGTATGATTCTTGTGACGTCATCCGTTGACATGTGGCACGCGTCGCCACACCTTTACCATGGTCGTGAACTTACTCATGAATTTCTATTTTTCAGCACTTCCCACTCAGTTGAGAGATCAATGAATGTAGCACACACACAAGAAGTTTTAGTACGGCTGGTTGAGTACGCCAACATTACTGGCATTCGGGTTACTCCCACTGGTAACACCGTAGCACCGTCCCTCATAGACGGAGGTCTAGGACACAATTACGTCAAACTAGGTTTTACTTCTCAGTTAAACTTGGGTTACGTATACAGAATTGTCATATACGGTTCGTTGGTTTGCGACGATTAAAGATAAATCAGTAAATAAAGGCCTCTAAGTAATGAAGACTTGTATTATTTTCTAAGTTTATCCCTCTGCCTCGTTGGCCGAGTGGTCGCAAGTGCGACTGCCGGGCATGGTCAAATCTCTGTAGTAGCACGGAGTCTGGAATTGTGCCCGGTATATGGTAATAGGCTCACCCCCTATTACATGGGACTTATAGCATAATAGTGAAAAGTGAGTACATTGTACAGTAGTATAATGTGAACCTCTGCCTACCCCTTCGGGGATAAAAGGCGTGATGTTATGTTATGTGTTTATCCCATCTACTGCTTGGAGAGTCATGCTTCGGTTGGAGCGGTACCGCACGGCCTCACAGAGCACCAGCAGCATCACGCGTGCATTGTATTTCGCCATGAAGTGAGGTCACCACAAGCCCGATCCTTCCCCCCTTCCCCCAACAGAAATCCTTAAATCCCTAAACTTGTAACTCCTCTAATGTTATGGGCGTCCATGGGGCGGCGCTTTGCTTACCATCAGAGATCAAATAAAAAAAGAACAAAACAACGAAATACAATTTTAAAATTTTTAATACACAAATAATATAGATAGAAGATAGAATAGTTTAAGGAGAATACAATATCCGTTCACTTAGTCGAAACTTATAAGCTAACATCAAGACAGGTAAAGACAATCCAATAAATATGTTTATTCTTAATTAAAATTGATATAATATTAATCCGTCGCTCGACAAAGCGAGATACACTCTACCCTGTTGACTCCTAGCTGTTTGAAACACCTTCACATTGTATTTCTGTAAAAGAAAAAAATAACATAATTAGTATAATTTTGACATTACTTAACACACACACACACTCATTACCAATGTGATATGCGCCTCTAGATATTCAATGAAAGTTATCTAGATATTCAATTATCCATAGGCGCACTCACGGCGCACTGGTAACATTTTTGAAAATGACTTATTATTATTTTTATTTAAATACAAACTTTAAATTTTAATATATACGAAATGATAAAAAGGTAAATAAGGTGGGCTTAATGCCATAATGTGGTATTCTCAACCCACCCTGGGTTCTTTCATCAGCGAAAATACTTAGATTAAAAAAAAATATTCCGTTTTTTACGGACTGAACATCTTATTACAATGAATATGATATAAAATGTATGTTTCCGTATAAGAAAACCCCATAAAAGAACAAAAAGGCAACCTACATTTTGTAGACAAAGAAATATTTCAAAATATTTACCTGAAAAGATTTTTAGCCCTTTTTACGTGGTCGTCTTACATGGTCTTCTGACTCGGTCTTCTGACATGGTCTACTGACGTCGTCTTCTTACGTATTTCAAATAAACTAAGTATTAAATACAAGACAAAATCTTTAAGATTCCAATACTAACAATACCTAATCTTGCAGATATTTCTAAATTATATTCGTTATCAACCTTTCGATTTGTTATTTTCTTCATTTTATGATTCTTCTAATTTTATTTACAAAAATAGTACTCTCAATCTTTTAATACAACTTTCCGTCTCGCTTTGCCCTCATTCCATACTTGAATTAAATAATTAGACATCGATTTTAATGGAGCTCTAGCCTAATGCGAGTCTTCCATTATTTATATGTAGTCGTATACTTATTATCTTAATAGTAACATTCAAAGCATGTAGGAAAAAATAAATACATGTGGCATGGCCCAGTATCCTTCCAATATATTCGATGCTACATTTCGTTGACTGTTCCGCCGCATTCTTCTCTCCCTTCTGGGGTCTTTTTGCGGACTTAGGCCATCCAGTATAAGTACAATCTTACTACAGGTGTGTGCACCTGTGTTCTATATACAGTATATAGGGCTACGTATACCTACATTACTCATTAAGTATAATTAAATTCTTTGGTATTTCCCTGCATCTCCGAATATCGTTTAATTCCAACTAAAGCATTTTTTCTATTAGTCTTATAAAGGTAATGGTGTTTGTACTTTTTCTATTTCAGGTTAAGTAGCCCGGTTCTCCGTTAGCACAACTTATAACGCAGGCATTTAAGTAAAAATATTTATTTTAATGAGTTCTGTTAAGGAAATTACCAATGAGTAAAGGTTTTTCGCCCGTCAACTGTATTTGGGATCGCGGGGGACACAATACAACAATAATATACACAATTCCGGGTTTAATCCCGAGTTATATCAATAACACTTTAAGTGGACGCACATTTATCCATTCAGAGGCCTTAGTACAAGTTTGTCTTACGTATAAAGTAATCGTAACGAGTACGCGTTCGGCGCTCTAATTGGTTGGTTCATTGGCGCCGGCCAATCAGAGTGCCGAACGCGTACTCGTTTCGAATACTTTAAACGTAAATGAAACTCATACTAAGGCCTCGTCGAACGTGTAGAACGAAACGAATTCGAATCATGCGAATCCGAAAATGTTAGGCTCGTTCGACACGTTCGGCTCGGATAAATGTGCATTCACCTTTCTTCTTAAGCTACAAGAAACTGATAGTTGGTCTCTAGGACCGAAAGGACTAAGTGGACATCGAAAAGACGCTCATACTGAGCACAGTGAAGTGATAACGGAGAAGTGAACATTACATTTTACATTAGGTTACTATTATTATAATCTATAGACCGTCTTCTCATTCTTCGCTTGATGATCTTACTTCACCTGAAACAGAAAAAATAATAATGCATTAGTAACAGAACTTGAAGCTAACAAAATATTTTCTATCAGACTTTTGTTTTTTAAATTCCATAACTTGACAATGCAAAATGGCTTTTATTTCCAAATTATTGGTGTCAAATTAGAGAATTAAATAAAAATCTGTTCTAAAATTACATTATACAGGACACCTTGATTGCACTACTAGTTATTCTGTCATAAAAGCGGAGTAAATACAACAACAAGCTTTAACCCCTCGAGCGTCCTTCTGAGCACCCGGTGGATCATAAAGAAAAATGCTCCATGCTGCTTTCTCTTTTATAAAACCTATTATTAATGTTTTGTTTTTATTTTGACTGTATTTTTTATTTCTATTGTAATGATCCTTGTTTTCGTGTGCCAATGGCCAAATAAATGCATTTTCTTTCTTTCTTTCTTTCTCCAAATGTCACGTGTGCACTCGTTGGATCATAAGTAACGCGGACGCTCGACGGGTTAATATGAGTGATCATGAGCATGACGCGCCGCAAAGCTTACATTGATATTTTTATTCATCATCATCATCATCAACAGCCTATAAATGCCCACTGCTGAGCAAAGCCTCTTCTCACACGGAGAAGGTTAGAGCATTAATCACCACGCTTGCTCAATGCGGGTTGGCGATTTCAAACTCATAATTAGAAATTATAAGTCCAGGTTTCTTCACGATGTTTTTCCTTCACCGTTTGTCAGTGGTGTCTAAATAATATTAGAAAGTACATATAACACGGAAAAAGTCACATTGGTACTTGCCGTTGGTAGGTTTCGAACCCGCACCCTCATGCATGAGAAGTGGGCGTCTTAAACCTCCGGGCCACCACGACTACGGTATTTTTATTAAAAAACCGTAACCCAAAAACACATTTTTTATCCGACTTCATTATAAAAGAGGTTGTAAGTTCGGCTTTATGTTTTTTTTTTCTCAACTTTGTTGTTAGTTATTATTTCGCAAAGTATACAAATTCATGCCTGGAATCGCTTCAAAGCGATCAGCATTTGTTTTTGATACCCACAAAGTAATCTTCTTATTTTATTATATATATTTTTTAGACTAATAAACGACTAGTTACGCATCCAAGGTACGTCTATCTATCAGAAAAATACAGCCAAAAGCACTACATAGGTTATCGTTTATCAATGCTATATTACAGTATTTGATGATCAACGTGAAATTATCTAGAAAGATAATTTTGTGTATAACTTTCGTGAGACATACTACATTAATTTATTTATTTAATATTAATTGGCTCCGAGCCAGTAGCAGCGCGACATACGCCGCGTCGTCGCGGGTCGCGGAATGCTGCTCATGAATATGAGCCTCTAAAATAGCTTGAAACTAGTCGAGTTCCTCGTCAAACAGTTACGTGAGTGAGCCGAAAACATATTTTAATAATCTGGTATATTGTGTATATTGAAAAAAAACATGTACTTAATTACAGAATTTCAGTGATACAATTTACGTCAGTATATATCCAATATGAAAAAAATACGTATACTTATGCGAGTTAGTTGAACAACGATAACTTTATTTAACAGACAATGCGTTGGCAACTATTCTGTCCAATCCTTGAACTATATTCAGCTATTTCATCCAACTGTTTCTTACAACAAAAGATTCAAATAAACACAAATTTAGAAAAAAAATAAAAGGTATTTGGCATTTGGCCTTTTGGCTTGATAGTGCCATCAATTTCAAAAAGATCAATTTAGGCCGCCATTGAGAATTAATAACTCTTGGACTACCATACTCGTTTTCACTTCTAAATCTTAAGGAACCCCTAAACTAAGATAGTGACATTTTGGTTTCCATCAACTTATAAGTGACACCTAACAGTACAAGTAAGGGATTAATGTAGGTGACTTTTAGTTATGAGATAGTCACACGGCCATTAGACATTATCAAAATTGCATTGAATTTGAGTAATCTACTTAAAAAATTAAAACATGCCACGCAAGTCATTATTCAACACTTTACAGTTACACAAACAAATATCATTGTTTGCCGTTACAATAAAAACATAACATTGCCATGCAAAAAAAATCGCTCAAAAACATAGACAAGAAAATATTATAGAAACAAGAAAATATGCAGATAACAATCATCATCAACAGCCTATAAATGCCCACTGCTGACTAAAGGGTTCATCTCGCATGAAGAAGATTTGAGCATTAATCACCACGCTTGCTCTATGCGGGATGGCGATTACAAACTAATAATTAGAAATTATAAGTCCAGGTTTCCTCACGATGTTTTCCTTAACTGTGTGTCAGTGGTGTCTAGATAATATTAGATAAATAACAATATTCTTTATTTTAACTTTTACGTGAGTTGATAATTTGCATGGTTATCTTGATATTTTAGCGGCACAATTATTCATCATGCATCATATTTTTTATTATTTATTCGCCCTTGCAACACCGGTCACTCCCTACTCATGTCCCTCTCTTAATCCGGCCTTTGTGAACACCCTTCCTCTTTATAAACTTTAATCCTTTATAACCCTCTCTGTCATCGCATTCACTCTTTCATCAATGATTTTTATTAACTACGACTCACATTATTTCATTCCCCAATTACATATATTTCCCATAGCCAAAAAAAAATACAACATATTTACCAACCTATTTTTTAATCGCAAACTTTGTGAACTTTAAAAGAATATAAAAGTTGTCTTTGAAAAAAAATACTGTCATTTTTAGCGCGCCATACTCATTTATACTTCGAATTCGAACTTACTGTTTGAAATTTGAATCTCATAATTTCTTCTTTTTATTTCATGTTTTATTTCTCATTACAACTTTGATATCACTTTTCACGCTTTGCAAATTATAGCCCTCATAGGTACACACAGAATTGGGTATATCTATTTTATAATTATATTCTCAAGTAATTTGTATATCGTCTGCATAACTCATAACATACTTTTCTATATACAAATACACACAAAGTACGAGCCATTTCATACAGAGCCTTAATTAAAAACTACGATATCGCTTAGGCATCAAATTAAATGTTTTTAAATCTACAATTTTAGTGTCACGGAGAAGTAAGCAAATAGACGATTCAATGATGGATGATTTGTAAAACGTTTATTGACTTCGTACCATGACAGAGTGAAAACAATGGATGAAAGAAATATATTGCACCAGCATGATTGTAATAAGCCAATAAATGTTTCACATCCCACGCAACTGAGAGTTGTCTTTGATTTATGTAAAAAAAAGAAACTTATCATAGACAACTGCTTACTACTACGCGCTAATATTAGCTGCCACATGCATTATCTGCTAAGCTAAGCAACACTAAACCTTAGAAACATCGAATTTCATAAATAAAGAAATGATGTTAACGTGTTTCATCAAGGAATTAATTTTTTTAAATATTTTCCTAGCCTGCCGTTCTTTGATTTGCAATATTCTAATCTCTTTGTGTTGAAGTTCAATTATTGCAGAAGCTTTATCCATTTCAGACATTTTTCCAGCTGCAAGCCGCTTTTGAATTTTTTTAGCTTTTCTCACTTCAGATCGAGCTACGGCAAGGGCCTACAACAAATTTGAAAGATTATGCTGTGCAATAGTTTAGTGAGAAGCAATGGCGCGAACTCTGAACTAGAAAATGAATGGAGATTTGTACACAAAGTCGGACATGTTATTATTTTAAATGCATGAGGCGTGGGACGAAAAAAAACTTCGCAAAATGAATGATATATTGAAGCTGAAGAGTTTGTTTGTTTGAGCGCACTAATCTCAAGAACTACTGGTCCAATTTGAAAAAATATTTTTGTGTTGGATAGTCCATTTATCGAGGAAGGCTACAGGCTATCAAACATCACGCTACGGTCTATAGGCGCCGAGCAGAGCGGGTGGAATCGCGCGGAAATAGCTAATGAATGATAAACTGACACGGAAGCAAAAAAGTTTTAAAGAAATACCAGCGTCAGTACAATACATGTTGAACATATTGAACAATGCTTACTCCGTTTACTTACTAATCCGTGGTCACTCAAATGAGCAAAAAATATCAGTACCTACGATTCGCATGGTACATTTTCCACAATACTAATTTCAAGCATAAAATTAAACTAGAAACTAGCTTTTGTTTATTCCAAGCGTTAATTAGTCAAGCATAGTTCTCCCATAGTTTATACGACAAGTATATATAGCACGTACGTACACTTGAGAGTAAACAGACGGACCCACTAGCGTTTTTTCTTTTTCATTTCTTGATAAACATTTTCTAATAGGTACTAGTATTTTATTGATTGGTATTACGTGATGTCATATAAAAGTTACCTTTAAAATGAGAAGATTTAGTTGCCAACAGTATAATTTTTTTTTTTTGAAGTTATAGGGCGTTTGTAAAAAAAAAGAAATGCTAGTGGCTCCGTCTCTTTGCTTCAAAGTCTATATTAAAAATGATATGCCTTGTGGTTCTGTCGTTGCGATCGGCTCTCGCGACCGACGCTGCGAGGTAGATGGGCGACTCCTTCGCCTGGACCTTCTCGCCTTTTTCTGTAAAACCGCGTTCTAATTACGCTCAGCATTTATTGTATGGGACAAAATCCACGAACAAGAAAATCCGTGTGTAACCCAACCAATGCTACTTCAAAAGAATCCCTTTACGTAATATAAATATCCTCAAAATAAATACTGTGTTTAGTGCTAAAAGTATCAATTTGGAATTCAGTCCCCCAGTTAATATTAAGCCCTGCAGGCTGAGCATCGCACCTTGTTTGTCCAATGAAAGCCATAGCACTTTAAATACGACCAGACTAGACAAAATGAAATATGGGTACTTTATAGTCACTTAAAAGTCTCAATAACAGACAGAAATTTTACAAAATCCGGGTAAATTTCATATAAAGGGCATTCTTCAGTGTATTTCCCATATAATAATAATAAAATATATTACTATAAAAACGCAGAAAACCTACGACAAACCCTCAATAACGAAATCATAATAAGTTCCAGTAATAAAAACACATTTTCTATTCCATTCTATTTGTAAAACACAAAAACTATAGATTTTTTTTGGTTTTTTTTTTCGTCCCACGCGCCATTCAATAAAATGTCCGATTTTTTCCTACAAACACACCACACACCACTCCAGAAAAAAAAACATTTAATTATTTTTAGTCTATCTGATGAATGCACGTGTCCTGTTATTGAATCTCTGTTCGAAGCATTTAATTAGTCTGGTTCACCCTCATAGCCAGACGGGGCGTTGCCAGGGGATCGGAAGGGGATGATGTACTAGGTACATGTTTTGATTTCGAGAGGGCAGGTAATGAATTTATATTCGTATAAGTATCCCAGCTTCTGTTTTCTTTTTTAACTGGATTTCAATGTTAGACAAGTGCAAGTCAACAGATAATATCAGAAAAATAATTAAATAATTATGTGTTACAAGTAAATCGATCTAGATTCATTTATTTATTACACAAACAATATTTAAAAAAATGTAGTTACATTATTTTGCAACACAAAATAAATTAAAAAAAAATGTTTAGTTACAAACGTCAAACTTGTCAAAGTAATTTCGCGCCATTGTTTCTCCGCTCATCTTGTCTATGGTAATACATTGCAGACTTACCTTCTTGCAGATCTTACGTCGACTCATTAGCTTCTTAATTTCCTTCTTTAATTCCATATTATTTCGTGGAGTTGAAGGTCGGGGTGATGGTAAACCTTGCATATGGCGTCTTAAGTCGAATACTGGACTTTCAGCCCGATTCCCAAGCAGTGGAGTGTGAGGTGAACTTGACGGAGGACTTGGGTTTATTGATGACTGGAAACGGTGTTGATACAATATGGAATTTACTTTTTTAGACATAGTTATTGAGTTTTTGTCGTAGGTTTCTATAAAAGGAGGTTGAGTGTTTGTGGATTAGTTGATGTATAAAATTCTTACCGCTCGTCCTCTGAATTTCTCCTCAAAACTGCTAGAATCAGCTTCAGCAGACGAACGCCGATCAAGCACCGGGCTCGGTGTGGGAGGAGCAAAGAAGCTTTCCGGCTAAATAGAAAATGTACCTTAATTCTATATACATAATGATCATAATAACATCATGTCCTTCCAGAAAGTGAACTGTTATTATCAACTTGTTACCAACGGTTTTATCTACGTAGTCAAACAAAAAAAGTACCTATCATATTTTCGTGATCACTTTTTAAACTCCAGCTGAGAATTTCGAAGAACCAAATCAAAAACTCAATATTACTTTATTTAACTTCTGCCACTTCAGAGAAAAAGAAGGTGTCATGTTGTGTTTCTTGTACATTAATTTCACCCGGAGATCGAACCCGAAATGTCACTACGACATTACGACCACTTCGTCTACACTTCTACATCACTACAAAAACAAAGAAGATAAATTAAAACTTAATAACGATCAACTAGTAGTTGATTGTGGGAGAGCCATGCTTCGGCACGAATGGGCTGGCTCGACCGGAGTGATACCACGGCCTCACAGAAAACCGACGTGAAACAAAGCTTGCGTTGTGTTTCATTGCGTGAGTAACCTAACTCACTGTAGGCTCAATTACCCCCCCTTCCCCAAACCCTGAATTCCCAACAATCGTCAAATTCCTAATCCCAAAAAGCCAATAACGCACTTGTAACGCCTCTGGTTTTCCAGGTGTCCGTGGGCGACGCCGATTGCTTACCATCAGGTGATCCGTCTGCTCGTTTACCAGCTTATCCCGTAAAAAAACCTATAAGTAGTTATATGTATTATCTGTCAGTGAAAATCAGTACTAAAGACGAATTTAAGCAATCTTCCAATGTGTCAGAGTACGGTAGTAGAGGTTGTCAACAAAAACAAATGGCTAATAACCTACTTAACATAACATCACGCCTTTTATTCCCGAAGGGTAGGCAGAGGTGCACATTATGCCACTGTACAATGTAACACCCACTTTTCACTATTTATGTTATGAGTCCCATGTATAATGAGCCTATTGCCATATACCGGGCACAATTCCAGACTCCGTGCTACTAGTGAGATTTTTTTAAAAACCTAGTAATACTTTGTCTGACCCGAGAATCGAACCCGAGACCCCTTGGCCGGCAGTCGCACTTATGTCTATTAACCTATTAGTGTAGTATGCTGTATGACTAATAACCTATTAGTGATCTATGACTAATAACCTATTAGGGAAAAACTAAGGGTTGAAGAAAAGCTACCATTGTCGCATTAAAGATTCAATTGCATCGATCGACTGGCCAATTAAATGACTCAAGGGGAACTGCAGTCATTTGTCAGTAACTACACTATTATACATAGGTACATTGTAAATGTCTTCGAATGCTTTCAAGGAACACTGTTTTATTCATAGACCAATTTAAGTCCGGTTTCAACGATCAATACTGTATTTATTGATTTTTATTTGTAACATAACATCATACCTTCACCCGAAGGGGTACGCAGTGTTTGCAAATTACGGCACTTAATGCCACTGTACATTATAACACTCACTTTTCACTATTTATGTTACGAGTCCCATGTGATAGAGGGTGAGCCTATTGCCATATACTGGGCACGATTCCAGACTCCGTGCTACTACTGAGAACTTTTTAAAAAGCAATTATACCTTGCCCGACCCGGGAATCGAACCCGAGACCCCTTGCCTGTCGCACTTGCGACTACTCGTCAAAGAGGCAGTCAAGCAGTTTATTGATTTGTATGTATGCGATAAGGTTTTTTTTTGCCGCGTTATGATGATAGAGTAGAAGAATACATGTTTTAAAACCGCTGTTCGTTCTGTGGGTATAGGAAAAATATATATTCAACAGAAACCAAGTAGCAGCGCTGTCTATAATACGTCATCAACAGCCTATTGTTGCCTTCTGCAGAGCAAAGCCTCTTTTCACACATAAAAAGTTTGAGCATTAATCACCACGCTTACTAAATTAGAAATTATAAGTCCAGGTTTCCTCACGATATTTCCCTTCACTGTTTGCCAGTGGTATCGAAGGTTAAGACGCCCGCTTGTGGTTACCGGTTCGAAACCTACCAACGGCAAGTACCAATGTGACTTTTTCCGAGTTATATGTACTTTCTAAGATTATTCAGACACCACTGACAAACGGTGAAGGAAAACATCGTGCGGAAACCTGGGCTTATCATGTCTAATTGTAAGTTTGAAATCGCCAACCCGCATTGAGCGAACGTAGTGATTAATGCTCAAACCTTATCCGTGTGAGAAGAGGCTTTGTTCAGCAGCATTTATAGACTGTTGATGTATGATGTGAGTATAATAAATGTAAGAACTATGGTAATTGGGGCTGTAAAACACCTTTTCGGACAGTGCTTCCCTCGGTAAAAACTAACCTTAACATTTTGAAGATTGTTAGACAGGTTAAATTCTTTTTTAAATGTCCTCTTTTTTCACACAGCAATAGGGTAGACGACTAATTTTTATTTTAATGAAAATTAGTCGTCTACCCTATTGCGTACCAGAAACGAATAGTTTCGAAGATATATTGATTTGAAATGTCGCGTGACGTCACTTCTCAGTACATTTTATACTAAGAAATGACGTTTTAGCCCCCACTCCTAAACTTTGATTCGTTTTATCTAAGTATTGTTTTATTATACGACAAAATAAAAAAATACGTGTCTAATATTTTTTCATTACCTAACTTACGGACTAATTATATTTTTAATTTTCATACCCTGTCATCATCCCCATTATATAACGATAAACGACATTGTATAACGCGATAACATTTTGTAACATACTCTAAAACATGTCAAGTTACTATTCCAACTTTGTTATAATTTGTTTAAAAACAAATGCTAAGTCGGTCTCTAACGTTATGCAGTCTTAATAAACGAAATGCTACCGAAAAACGCCGACAGGAGATGGTATAAAAAAAAAATGTTTTCATAAAAGTAAATATGTAATTAAATGTTCCTTTTATATGATACTAGTTGTAGATATTAGTTGTTTTAAAAAAGAGTAACGAATGGAGTTTCTTGCTCGTTCTTCTCCATTCGAATCTACATTTTGGTATGAGCAACTAGCTTCACCTAGCTTCAAAGCCGGACTGACTGACAGATTATTATTTATTTTGTATTTGTTGACGTTCCAAAAGTACCAAATTATGGTTTAACCCTTTGAGTACCGTCATTATAGACACAATTAAAGAACAATAGCTTGCGGTCACCGGTGTCCTCGCGGTGTTTGACAGTTTAATTGAAATAAATGCTTTGACTTTGACTTTGACTTTGTAATCAACTGCTGAAAGCTGATATTATATGAACGACACGAAAATAAAAACTCTTTTTGTCTGCATTTCGGGAACATAACATAACACCTTTAATTCTTTAAAAGAACAGGCAGAGCTAATCACTATAACTCCATAAAAAATCATCATCCATATTCTACATCCACTAACCTGGAACGCCGTCCAAGCAGCGAGATCATTCTCGTTACAGTCAATGTCCAAGTCTTCGGAGAATGTGGTGTCGGCTTCCTGGATCGGAAGGGAGAGATCAGGGGAGGAGTCACGGCTCAACTGCGGTAAAGGCTCGTCGCGTGCCACCGCCTCCCGGTTCACTCCTCGAGAGGTGCTTGGGATGTCTTCAATAGGCTGTAAAAGAGTATGATATTAGTTTACGAAGGGAAGAAGAGGATGTGGTGGTATTAACTATTAACCCTTTGAGTACCGTCATTATAGACACAATTAAAGAACAATATTTTGAATGCACGGTTGGTGTGGTGGCTGATCAACCGGCTGCCGTGCAACGTGTCGCGGGTTCGATTCCCGCACGGAACAACACTTTGTGTGATACACAAATGATTGTTTCGGGTCTGGGTGTCATTGTGTATGTGAACTTGTATGTTTGTAAACGCACCCACGACACAGGAGAAAATCCAAATGTGGGGCAACGTTTAAAAAAAAATTAGGTTATGGTCACCGGTGTCCTCGCCGTGTTTGACAGTTTAAATATGGTATGGTATAGTTGTGGGGAATTGAAATAGAAGTAGGAGCATTACTTTCATAGAATCTTCTTCTTGGAAACCGATGGTGGAATTTAACAGGTTACTAAAACTCATACTGGTTCGTTGTCAATTAAAATTTCAGTATTGCACTTTTAAATTTAAAAAAATACAACCATTGAGCTATGTATACCGAGAGATAACTTTACAAACGAACTTGTACCCTTTACTTTATCTAAGCACTTCATAAACTACCGATGACACCGAGAGATCGAGAAAGAATAAAACGTTGAAGCAAATACATAATATTTTATAATAAAGACAACAATTTAAGCGAAAATTTAACTTTGACATTTAATAAATAACTTTAGCAAGAAAATATTTTTTACGCCTAAAGAAATAACTTGCAAAAGAAATGTTGAATGTTAATGGAATGTGTCAAAAAAAGGATTAGACAAAATATTTCAAGTTAATTTTGTTATCATTCTTAACGCTGAAAAAGGTGACTGAGAATTTGAAAAACTCTAATATTAAAGAGGAAAATATTCGTCATTTTATATTGGTATTTTCTTAGGTATTTTAACAATAACCTCTGAGAGAGAGAGAGAGACGAGAGAGTTGAGTCCCCATCTCGCAATTGTACACACAGGTGTACGAGAAACGCGCACCGATTGGATATTTTTTCTGTGACATATATTTTCAAGTAAAGCAACCCGTTCTTTATTTGATTGAACAGAATAGTTCATTCGCTTTTCTATTAAAATATTTACCCGTGTGTACGAGAACACGCGTTTAAGCGTGTGTACGAGAGGCGCGCGAGAGGTTATATAAGTATAAGTACTACTCAGGGTGTAAATGGCACGCTCCGGAAAAACACTGACATAAAAAAATAATCGTTTTTATTAACGTGCAACATCAGTATTAAGCGGTTGATTACAACTATTTAAAACATTTAATTCCTTATTTTAATAATAACAAAGTTTGTATTTGACTATCAACTGTCAGCGTTTTTCTTGAGCGTTCTGTTCCGTTCTGTATAATATTTAACAACTATCATTATGAAGCCAGATCTAAAAAGAATATTTAAAGATATCTATCATTTTTAATGTATAGTATATATGTGTATATTCTAAACATAGATTTTAACTAGCTGGAAAGTATCTGTAAAGCATAGTACACTTCCATAATTAGTATTATATAAAGAAAACAGTAAATTTATCGTTTTCATTTAATTTCCTTTTTTTTAATTGTCTTTTCATTTGTATTATAATGTTTTGCTGACTGTAAGAGACTGGGCCTCACGACACAGAGAATCCTAGTGTGGGGTCCAGAGCCATATAAATACGTAATGTGAAGCTTTTTGTCAATATTTTTTTTTTCTTTATTAGTAAATTTATAATTTTAATTTTGTGTAAATTAATTCTAATTACCATTCCTAACTTTTAGGTTTCTGTAAGTGATGGATAAGCTCTGTCCGCTCTGTCAGTCTGCTCTGGTTTAATTAAAATGTTACTTATATACTCTATACATTTAAAACTATAATACTACTTGACAAATACTATTTTATTTTTTTATATTTACCACGCCTTTTATCCTCGAAGGCAGAGGCACAGGTCCACATTACGGTACTTAATGCCACTGTACAATGTAACATGCACTTTTCACTATTTATGTTATAAGTACCATCTAATGATGGTTGGGTAGATATTTCTTTTATATTATACTAGCGACCCGCCCCGGCTTCGCACGGGTGCAATATGCATGTATTATACATATAAACCTTCCTTAGGAATCACTCTGTCTATTAAAATAAACCGTATTAAATTCCGTTGCGTAGTTTTAAAGATCTAAGCATACATAGGGACAGTCAGACGGCGGATAGCGACTTTGTTTTATACTATGTAGTGATTTTTTTTAAATAACTACTCTATTGCACTAGTCAAAATTAAAAAAACTACCAATGATTTATTATGACAATAGATACATACACGTCAATTTGAGAACGATTTTCCGACGGTTTATATTTTAATTAAGATCAACTTGATTTAAAATATGCTTAATAAATGCACTTTCGAAGCAAACATTTATTTATTTAAGGACAACCAACAAAGCATACAACAAAATACATGATAGGTTTTTTAACATATTTTAACACTCTATAGTGTAGCCTTAATTAAAGGCACTATAAAACCACGACATACATTATACAAGAACAGGATATTACAATAAAAAAAACAAAAAGTTCGCTTATCAAAAAAAAGACATCATGTTAAATCACAATTGTTAATTTTTTTTTGATTTGAATGGAATATATAGCGCAGTTTAACTCTGTTTGATTTGATAAACTTACTAGCATTACTTGTTGAAAAGGTTGCCTTTATACATTAATTTCCTCTCGATTACTGAGCAGCACTTCTCTCAAACACAAACTCACGTATAAACACAAAATGCACTAACACAAAATCGAAATCACTACAACAGTTTTCGAAAATGCACGATACAGTAGTTTTAATAATTATATTAATATTTCAAATTACTTAATATTGGCACTTAATATTGTATTATTATGTTAAAGGTACGCGGTGTTTCCCAACTTGATACAGACAGAGAATGTCCAGACGAGACATGGTGAACCCAAGCACGGACAATTTTGATTTACATCTGTGTGTGTTGTGTGTGTATTGCAAATAGAGGAGTTCATATTTCGATAGGGGAGAGATGAATCGCAATTCGCGAGGTCAATTTTATTCAATAAAAGTAGCCATTGCTTGTTTATGGTACTGTCTAGAAAGTTTTTAATATTGACCAGTGTAAAGGGTGTTTATTTTTATTATTGATCGTTTGTATGTTTATTTCAGTTCTGTATTTTGAAATTTATTTCTAAGTTATTTGTTCTTAATATAATGGCACCAAGCGAAAAATGCCAGAATTTAGTGTGCAAACAAGACAGTATTGTTAGCTATTTTAAATCTAAAATGGGAAAGAAAAGATGCACATTTAAAAAAATTATAATCCAATATAAAAAGAAGTAGACTAGAATTAAGCCATTAAGAAGAAAACCCATTAAAAAGAGACCATAGATAGCAGAACCTAGCTAAAACTAGAAATATTCAAAACTAGACTTCTCAAGTCCACCAATCAGCAGCTGTAGCCAAATGCCATTTAGCGCTTGTCTACTTGCAGAGTAGAAAACCAAATTATATGGAATTGACGTAAATTTTGACACTTATCAGTGTCATCCCCATACATTTAGTTTTCTACTCTCTCTGTAGACAAGCGCTAAAGCGACGTTTGGCTAAAGGCCCTGGATCGGAGGTCATCTCCACCTCCTTAAAAACCTATAAATGATAGTAAACACAAACAAACATACAAACAAAACGCATATAAACTGAGAGCTAGTAGCCACTGATGCATGACCCATCCTCTATCCCCACACTCCCAAATCCTCAAAAGACCGACAACGCAATTGCTTACGTTGCAGAAGTCCACGGACAGCTCAGATTGCTTACCATTAGATGTTCCATCTGCTTCTTTTCCGACCTATTCCATAAAAAAGAATACAGTCTCGTTACATACTTCTTTAGCTTCCATCACATTCAGACCTATAGTCATGTCGCGGAGAACCTAACGGGTTACCGGGGCTCCAGCTCGACGTGCAGGAGAAGGAACGGGGTGGTTTTTAGTCAGAAAGAGTCTGACACTCCCTCCCGCCTCACCCAGGCGGGAGGAGGCATTCGATGATTATCCCCCATAAAAAAGAGCTATAGTCATACATGACTTCTTATATACGAGGACTTACCGGCAGGTCACGGTAGACGACATACTCGCAGGGAATTGCAGCAGTCTTCAGGTAACGGTTGCCTGAACGCTTGATGAAGTAATCAGTATCTCTGAAGTGCTTAGAGCAAATATAATCGTTCCTTGTTGGGGTCCAGTCGTCACGACCGGTCATATCAATCCACTTCTCTCTTATTTCTTCATTGGTTGGGAACCTACAATAAAAATGTAAGGTTATGTCGTACTCATTAAAGTTCAAGTTTGTTCGACGATCAGAAGGTGATGTAGAAGACGTTTTGTTCCAGTAAATTAAGCTCTAGTCTTTACTAATAGGGACTATATTCAATCATTAACTAATTCAACGTAAACAACGATCGATTAAGTTATTAATATCACATACAAAATCGTACAAGGCACGCCTTTCAATTTCTCGTAGCAGTTGCTACGCACGCCTACGCCGCCCTCTACGACGCTACGCCGCGACTACGCACTACGTACCTTAAAACCGTTATAATTGAATTTTTTGTCTCTTTTATTGGAAAAATTGATGAGGAAAATTAATAATGAACCCTATTACAGCGCATGTCATAGTATTAAAATAGAATTCATGAGATAGCAATCAATAAAGGTGATTTTTCTACCACCTTGATGTCGCCATTTTTGTCTAAAAGAGGATCTGTCTACAAGCATGCGCAGTGAGGGATCTCTTTGTTCTCAACGATGTTTCTAGAAACATGGTTATAGCAACATTTAAGTATGACCTCGTGGTTGTAGGACAAAGGAAATTCTGGATAAATTCTAGCCAAAGATGTTTACGCGAGAGATAAGGCATTTAATTTAATTTTGTGCACAATTCTAATAACATTTCAACAAAACTTTTCAAATAAAACGACCTTCGAACTGAAAAGGAAATATTGCGCAATACGATTTCCTTTACAACTACGTAAGATGATTTTTAACTCGAAAATTAGCATCCTTTACACGAGAATATCATTTTAAAACCACTATTTATCTCAAATACGATTATACAAATCATCGATATTTCACTAAAACAATTCATCGGAGCTCCTCTAACGGACTTCGCTTTCCGCAGGACGATCGCCAAGCCACGACATTATCGCACAACACATAATACATTGCCGCTTTTGACAGCACGACGAACATGGAGGCCTTACTTAACGCGCAATGTAAAGTAACCATAATGCAACAGTTGAAAAATCACAAAATTGTTAAAAATCTAAAATGTCCACTAATAATTTATATTAATTCAAGTAATACAGTATTAAAAACTTACGGATGGAAGGTGAGTCGTGAAGAGGAACCGCTCGGGCAGTCTGACCTTGATTTACATGTCAGTACAGCACAGAGCGGCATGACTGACTCCTTGCTTCGCGGCGGAACGCTGCACTCGGGCCCCGACCAACTATGCGAGCATGCGCTTATGGCGATCGATATGTGTATGACCAATAGCCGTAATGCGCACCACCTCTCTGCCGGCAGAATCTATTTTTAGCTTATTCTAGGTCCTGGGAAAACAGGAAAGCAATTATTTATCAATACTATGCATCTTCGTGTCTCACTCAGACGGGACACGACGCCATGATGCCCTGATGTACTACATAGGTACTTTAGCACATACATCTCTACAGCGGCTCTGATATGAAAATTTGTTTAGATTATCCTGATTTCAGCGGTTTATTCGGTTGAAAATTGAAGGTTTTTGTATTGAAAATTGTTTAATTGGTTTTATGACGTGAGCCTATAATTTTGTGCGTTTTTAATACGTACTGTAAAGCGTTTTGGATAGTATACTCTTTTAGATAATGTTCGTTCAATTAAAGTAACTTAATGTTACAGTTTAAGATTATTTTGATAAAAAGTACGAATATATTTTCTTATGTATTATAAATTACGTAACTTATCATTTATTAACAAACTGTTTTAGAATTGGTCAACCCTGCAATTGTGATTGTGATTTCTATGTATCCAATACCACATTCTTTTAATAATAGGTATACTTGTCCTTTGTTATTGGGAAATAAAAATTATTCAATTCTATTTAACAAATTAGGCTTAAAATAACTTATTTCATACCTGAAAAGCTACAATTACTAATATAAAGAGTTATGATAATTATGTTTACAATATTATTAGGTACATAGTTTCGAGACATAATTATACACAGTGAATTCTATTTTATTTTCATCTCGCGGCTAAATAATTTGTCATATAGGAGTACTATCGATATGTAAAGTAAAAACAAAAAAAATATGTAATTTTTTTTAGTTTGTAGAAATTTTTTCCTGGGAATACGCATATGAAACATTAGACGTAAATTTGTAGGCACGAGAAATACCTTTTCGAGAATTACATAGCGTGATGTTTTGATAATATACTATGAGTTCGTATGCGCTTTCAAAGTTCGCTTTTTTGCAATGGTTCACCAGTTATTTTCTGTTTTAAACATTCTACTTGTTTGTAAAACTATTGTATTAACGAGACAGAACCATTTTATTTCGAGACGAAAACAAAACAAATTTCACGGTGTATCTTTAACGACCTGGTTTTATATAATGATATAATGCTGAAGAGAAAAATGTATATAAGAACTATAAGTACATAGTGAGGTACGATTCAAAGAATTCGACTTTATTATAAACAGGATAGTCTGAGGCAGATATTTGATTTTTTTCAATTGAATGTGAAGCCTTATTTTGCAGATTTGAACTAATTAGGTATGCTTTTAACCGTGTCAAAAAATATTGGAATATAATATGTAAACAAAATATTGATAGAAAATCTTTCGAGACGAGATACCTACTAACAAGGTATTTTTTTTTTTTAAGGGGGGAAAATCATCGAATGACTGCTCCCGCCTGGGTGAGGCGGGAGGGAGTGTCAGACTCTTACTGACTAAAAACCACCCCGTTCCTTCTCCTGCACGTTGAGCCGGAGCCCCGGTTACCCGTTAGGTTCTCCGCGACTCCGAATCGACATCGGCCCTATTGGGCCCCATCTGTGGTGGTCTGATGGCTCTTTGAGGCGCGCGCGGAACGCTACGCGCCGTACGCTCGGGTACTAACAAGGTATAAGGCACTAATGCTGCTTACTAAATAGTTTTTTAAAGGGGGAAAATCATCGAATGACTTCTCCCGCCAGTGTGAGGCGAGAGGGAGTGACAGACTCTTACTGAGTAAAAACCACCCCGTTCCTACTCATGCACTTCGAGCCGGAGTCCCGGAACCCCGTGAGGTTTTCCGCGGTGCTTACTAAATACTTAAACTGCACAGTTGACGCGGTGAGCGGGCTACTGGCTGCCGTTTATACGCACTATAAACAATTTCTCTTTTTTTCTTTCTTTCATGATACTTATACTTACTCCATTATAATTTTCATCATGGTCGTCGTGTCAGCCATAGAACGTCCATTGCCTCACGAAGACTTGAGACTTCCGGAGATCGGTTGGTTAAAAACGACACAGGTTTTGTACCTTGAATAAACAAAAAACAAGATTAAGTATAAATAAAAAAAGTTTATGCAACTTTTTTTATGGGATAAGCCGGTAAACAACCAGACCGATCACCTAATGGTAAGCAATCGGCGCCGCCCATGCACACCTGGAACACCAAAAGCGTTACAAGTGCGTTACTGGCGTTTTGGGGATTAAGAATTTGAGGAATGTTGGGTATTCAGAGATTGGGGAAGGGGGGAAGTGGTAGTTGATTAGTTGGTAACTTTAATTTACAGAGCGGATATTAATGGGGTCGTCGGTAGAGGGCGCCTCAGACGGACATAAATATATCGACCAGATTGGCAATATATTAAAGAAGGGCCAAATTAAAAGTACCCTTCACCGGCAAGTATGTATACATGAAAAGACTGATGTCTGTTGAGGAAGCGAAAGAGGTATGTAAGAATCATATTGTCGTCCAATAGTCTTTGCTTACCCCGTGGGAGACAGGTGTGAGGTTACCTATATATGTATGTAAACTTTAATTTATATCTTCTATACATATAATAAAATTGTAGGAAAGTGAAAACTGTACACCGAATATTTTTTTAAAAGAATGGCTTGGGCGTGATCTGCAGTCGATACCGAAACCAAAAATATGTTTTTTTTAATTTTCGTCTGTTTGTCTGTATGTATGTCCGGGATGAACTCAAAAAGTGCTGTATGGATTTACATCAAATTGCATGAATATTACTAACAGGTCGGGTCAACATATAGGCTTTATATTATCATGCTATCAACTACGGGAGAGGAGCTGTGAATCACTATTCCATTATTTAATATGTACAGTACACTTAATTCGGCGAGTACCGTATTTATAGACACAATTAAAGAACAATAGGTTGCGGTCACCGGTGTCCTCGCGGTGTTTGACAGTTTAACTCGTCGAGTACCGTATTTATAGACACAATTAAAGAACAATAGGTTGCGGTCACCGGTGTCCTCGCGGTGTTTGACAGTTTAAAAGAGACTAGGCTATGCTGTAACTTTCAATTCGAAAAATCAAAATGAACTCGGTCGCATTATCGCCCGTTATTAATCGAGACAGCCAATAACGTGTGCAAACCGCGATCTACGTCACTTCTATCTCTATCTATCTATATAAAATTAGTCTAAGTTACAATATAAGTAAGTTACGATCTAAGTCTAAGTGAACTCTATCGTGGTTTGCCATGTCATTGGATATGAGAATTATCTCGACCGATGACGGGCGAGAATGCGATCGATCACTTTGAAAGTTCGAATTGACATCTTACTGCCTAGCAGGCAGTGGCGCTCTCTGACCTTTTAAACCACAATAGCCGACTACACCTGCCACGCTGATGCATGACAAACCTCTCCATATTTATTTATTTACTAGCTATTGCCCGCAATTTCGTCCGCGTAGAATATGAATTTTAGAACGTAACTTTTTTTGCTTCAATTTTCCTAAAGAAGCTAAAAGTAAAAAAAAGTCTTGCAAAATCGGTCTAGGCATTCCAGAGATTAGCCAGTACAAACAAACAGACAGACAGACAAAAATTGCAAAAAAAATATATTTTGGTATGGGTATCGTTTGTATATTCATATATATGTAAGTAGTAAAAAGCGCATATCATAGATTGATTTGAATAGGGTAGATGCCTAATTTTTATTTTAATGTCCGTCTGGTAGATTATTTTAAATCATTAGACATGTATTTTTAATTTTCTTACAGAAACGAATACTTTCGGCGATATATTGATTTGAAATGTCGCGTGACGTCACTTCTATGTATATACATTTTATATGTAGAAATGACGTTTTAGCCCCCACTTAACTTTTATTGGTTTTATCTCAGTACCTATTGTTTTATTATACGACAAAATAAAAAAATACGTGTCTAATATTTTTCATTACCTAACTTACGGACTAATTAGATTTTTAATTTTCATACCCTGTCACCATCCCTATTAAAATAGTACAATATTACACTAACTAAACTAATTTACGTAGAGGCCCATAGTACAATAGTGGATTGTATTAGGCTATTGACGTAACTCAAGTAGAATATTGCAACATTCATTCTCGATTTGTACTTTTTTTATTTTGTACCTAACATTACCCCTTTTTGCGTAACTTACCAAAGTTTTTGTTTGAACAAAAACAAACGCCATAGTATGGTTTCAGGAGCATTTACACAGGAAGTTATTCGTACATTTCAACACCTTTGGAGACCGGGGCTGGGCGGGGGTGTCACATTCAGTCCTTATTTATCAAATAAAATAACTTTACTCCATTTAAGTGTGCAAACGAATAGCAGTATACAATAAATGATTTACTTTTAATAGTTATGTATATGAAAGGAAAGTTAAGTTAGTTCACATAATATAAAATCACGCCTTTTATCCCCGAAGAGGTTAGGCAGAGATTGCACTTAACCCTTTGAGTACCGTCATTATAGACACAATTAAAGAGCAATAGGTTGCGGACACCGGTGTCCTCGCGGTGTTTGACAGTTTAAGCTAGTAGAGCTTTTCTCAGTATATTCACGTGAGTAACCCGCGATTTTTAGTTAATTTAGTATGTCTCACGACACGATAGTTATTATAAAAACAAAACAAACAGTACCGTAAAACATAGTGAAACTAAATGAGTCTTTCAAACTCAGTCAAAAGGTTTTATGTGATGGAGAATGAGCCTATTTCTACACACCCAGCAATTATAACTTTGTTACAAATTAACCATAAAAATAACAACTTCTGAGTATTGTATAATGCCCAAGTTTATCAATAAATAGGTCAGGTAAGCGAGAGGGCGGCAACATGAAACCGTACGAACGAATAATATTACTAACATTTTTTTTAGTATATACCTACACACAAATATAAAGGACTTATATCCA